TATGTATATGTATATATATATTTATGTATATATATATATATATATCAAATGTAGAACATGTAAAATTATAAGAAAACAATATTAAAATGTTAATGTATAGTGTATAGTTAACTTATTTGTTTTACTTTACATTCATAGAACTGCTAAAAAAAATATAAATAGTTATGACATACGACGCGTAATTCTCAATATAGGTTGAATTGAAAAAAGCGTATATTTAAAATATGCCCTTCTTTTGGACAGTAACCTTCTAAAAACTATTTCTTTGAGCAAATAATTAATATTTGTGGTTTTCATTAATAAAAATATAGCATTTTAAATGGATTGAGATGTTCTTCATATAATCCGCAATCTAAATTCAACTGAAGAAAACTCATACTTAAATATGCGATTCTTTCGGACATGACATTTTTATTTTTTGTAACAAAAACTTATTATGTTTACTCTTCATTCATCAAAATAAAAAGTTTTTTAAATGGTCTATGATATACACCACATAATCCGCAATATAAATTCAGCCTTTGAAAACTTGTTTAAAATATACACTTCGTTTAGACATAACATTATTATTTTTTCATACAAAAATTTCTTATTTTTACGTTTCATTCTTAAAAATAAAACATTTTAAATGGGTTATGATATACGCCACATAATCCGCAATTTAAATTCTACTGAAAGAAAACGTATGTTTAAAATATACATTTCATACACTTCTCTTAGACATAACATTCCTATTTTTTTTAAACAAAAACTTTTTATTTTTACTTTTTATTCATAAAAATATGAAATTCAGAATGGATTATGGCCACATAATCCGCAATTGAAAAAAGCATTGTTTTACTCAAAAACTTCTCCAATTATTTTTTATAGCTCCCTTTTAAAATTCGTAACAAAGTATTTAGAATAACAACGTTATGAGCGGTCTAAATCAATCTTGGATCAAAAATACTTATTAAGTGAGTTAGAGGCAATAAGCAGTAGCAGAGAAGCAACGAAATAACTTAGTTGATGCAGGGGTCCAATGACATTAGATGGGCTGGAAGTCATTAGGATAATAGAATCCTGGAATCCCGTACGGAATAACTTTGTTAAGGATTTTCTCCTATACCTGCTGTACCTGTAAAAGACGCACAAGATAAATCAAGGTTGTCGCTTTGCTTGACAGAGGAAGGGTGAGGGCACTTAAAATGCTTTCCGATCCCTACTTTGATTAATGGCAAATGATTATTGCTATAATTGATCTGAGAATGTTTCATCCTTCTTCATTAAGATTAATGGCCTGGAACTATCTGAAACTTTTCATATTTAAAACCTATTTAGCTTCAAAGCCTGGCTGGGAATTTGTGCGCATCATTGAGGATTCAGCACACCACTACAAATCTTTCAACGGGAAAACTTTTCCAATTTCTCTCAGGATTTTATTTTACTTTTCCCGATGCGTTTCGTCGCATTTACCAGGTGGCAATGAGTTCCTGCGACCGCGAACCAGTTTTCGATTTTGTTTCTTTTTGAAATTTTAGATTTAGTTCAAGCAGTCGATTGTGTTTAAAAGTATCTTCGATAAATTTTGTAAAAATAGAATGAATTAGTTCCGTTATAAAAGATTGATGCATTCTTTGCTATGTTTAAGGTGTTGAGGTTATAATTAAGCAGCTGAAAGCGGTTGATTGAGCTTCTAAATTTAGAGTAAATTTTATTTTATGATATAGATATTGATGAGTTGTTTTTAAATATAAATACCAATTATGCAAAACTCTGTCGAGTGATCTTTCGATTTTATTTCTTTTTTAAATTTTAGATTTAGTTCAAGCAGTCGATAGTGTTTAAAAGTATCTTCGATAGTGTTTGTAAAAATAGAATGAATTAGTTCTGATATAAAAGATTTATATATTCTTTGTTGCGTTTAAAGTGCTGAGGTTAAACCTAAGCAGCTGAAAGTGGTTGATTGAGCTTCTAAATTTAGAGTAAATTTTATTTTATGATATAGATATTGATGAGTTGTTTTTAAATATAAATACCAATTATGCGAAACTCTGTCGAGTGATCTTTCGATTTTGTTTCTTTTTTAAATTTTAGACTTAGTTCAAGCAGTCGATAGTGTTTAAAAGTATCTTCGATAGTTTTTGTAAAAATAGAATGAATTAGTTCTGATATAAAAGATTTATATATTCTTTGTTGTGTTTAAAGTGCTGAGGTTATAACTAAGCAGCTGAAAGCGGTAAAGTGTGCTTTATTTTAACGTAAATTTGATTTCATGATATAGATATTGGATAAGTTTCTTAGATATAAATACAAATTATGTATGAGGTATTCGGTTATAAATATAATTTCATGATTTAAACATAATAAGCGAAATGCAAATGATGAAACAAGTTAAATTAATTTGCTTTGCAACTTAAACGTGAACAATAACATAAAAAACGTACCAGTATTCTTTTAGGCTATTTATTTTGATTGTTTTTTTTCTTCTTTTTTTTTTCATTTTTTTTGTTGATGAAATCAAAATTTTTAGTTTAGTTCTAAATGTCAAAAAAATTCCAATAAAATATCTTTGTTACAAGGATAAACATTTACTTTTCCTTTTTTTGTGTTTATTTACTTAAAAGTCAATTTAGTTTTTTAAAAATTTGTTTGTTTCTTATTATATTTTTTATACATATAACTGGATAATTTATTTCGTCTAGCATATTTTTGTTACTAAGTATTCATTAATATAATATGAAATACTTCCTAAAATAAACATAAAACTAGTTTTTATGGAAATATAAATAAAAACGTTTTTTTATTGCTATCAGATATTCATTAAAATGCTAAATTATCGAAGAAAGACGAGTGATTTTTTCTCATATATTTCAATAGATGGTATTTTGTCAGACTTCCCTTTAAAATTAGTTTTTATATTTGTATGAGAGGAAGCCATTAACAAAAAGAATTCAATGTTAATGTTTTCTCTCTTAAGAATATAAAATTTGTTAATTTTGAAATCTGATGAAACGAAAATGAACGATTTAAATTATTCCATGAACGAACAGTTTTTCTTATTATTTATTCAGAATTTTATGCAATTTTTTTAAAAATATTTTTGTAAAATCGTCATGATTGTGAAATACTCGGTAATACTAAAACTCGGTAACTCTATAACACTTTTTGAAAAAATATTTATATTTTTAATTCATGTTTTGTATCATTTTAAGATTTACCTTGTGCAAACGCATCTAGGTTCCACTTGTGATTAGCCTAAGGGTTATGTAGTTACAGCATTTAAAATTTAAAACTTGTAAAACTAGTCATAATGCATGTTTATACATATTTTTTGCACTTTTTAAACACATTTATAATATGTAAAAATATTAAAATATGTTTTTCTCGTGTATTTAAATAATAAATATTTGAAAACTTATAACTTACAGTTTGAAAATGAGAAATCTAATTAAAATAAATCATCAACCAATCATAAGCACAGGCCCAAAAAATTAAAAATAGCAACAAACCTAAAAACTTTATTTAATTTGTGGTTTTGAGTATAAGCGATAAGTCAATGAAACAATTTTTATAATCTTTAAAAAATAAACATATAATATGTAATAAGTATTCACGTGTAATTTAAACATTTCACTCACATTTAAAAATTGATACCTCATTTATGATTTACAAAAGTGATGAATTGATTAAAATGATAAATGAATGAAAATGATTTTGGAATGATAAATGATTAAAATGAATTTAAAAATGAAATTATAAATTGATGATTAAAGATGATTTCAAAAATGAAAATATAAATTGATGATAAAAGATAATTTTTAAAATGAAATGATAATAATTAAAAATAATTTTAAAAATGAAATGATAAAACTACATAATGCATGCTTATACATATTTTTTGCGCTTTTTAAACGCATTTATAATATGTAAAAATATTAAAATATGTTTTTCTCGTGTATTTAAATATTAAATATTTGAAAACTTATAACTTACAGTTTGAAAATGAGAAATCTAATTAAAATAAATCATCAACCAATCATAAGCACAGGCCCAAAAAATTAAAAATAGCAACAAACCTAAAAACTTTATTTAATTTGTGGTTTTGAGTATAAGCGATAAGTCAATGAAACAATTTTTATAATCTTTAAAAAATAAACATATAATATGTAATAAGTATTCACGTGTAATTTAAACATTTCACTCACATTTAAAAATTGATACCTCATTTATGATTTACAAAAGTGATGAATTGATTAAAATGATAAATGAATGAAAATGATTTTGGAATGATAAAGGATTAAAATGAATTTAAAAATGAAATTATAAATTGATGATTAAAAATGATTTCAAAAATGAAACTATAATTTGATGATAAAAGATAATTTTAAAAATGAGATGATAATAATTAAAAATAATTTTAAAAATGAAATGATAAAACTATAGATGATTAAAAATTATTTTAAAAATAAAATAATAAAATAAAAAATGATTGAAAAAATGATTTTTAAATAAAATGATACAATGATAATGATTGCAGAGGGTTTTGAAAATGAAATAATAAAATTATACATGATTAAAAATGATTTTAAAAATAAGATGATGAAATAAAAATTGATTAAAATTGGTTTTAAAAATAAAATGATACAAAATTAAAAGTGATTTTAAAAAGAAAATGATAAAATGAAAAAATGATTAATATGAAATGATATAATAAAAAATTATTAATATGAAATGATAAATGAGAAAAAAAAATTTTTGAAAATGAAATGATAAATGAAAAA